ACACACACACACACACACACACACACACACCATATATATATACCATATATATATATATATGGTATATATATAATGGAATATTTCCCAGCCATCAAAAATAATGAAATCTTGCCATTTGCAATGACATGGATGGAGCTAGAATATATTTATGGTAAGTGAAATAAGTCAACCAGACAAATACCCTATGATTTCACTCATATGTGGAATTTAAGAACAAAACAGATGAAAATATGGTAAGGGGGAAAAAGGAGACAGGGAAACAAACCACAAGAGATTCTTAATGATAGAGAACAAACTGAGGGTTGATGGATGGAGGTGAGTGGGAGATGGGCTAGGAGGGTGATGTGTATTAAGAAGGGCACTTGTGATAAGTGCTGGGTGCTGTATGTAAGTGATGAATCACCGAATTCTATTCCTGAAACCAATATTGCACTGTATATTAGCCAAAATTTAAATTAAAACAAAGATATAATTCTGACTTTATGAGGAGGGTGGATGTTAAGAGGAAGAAATTAGGATACACGTTAGGGTACTGGTAAGAAATGTTGAGGGCTAAAAAAAAACAGTGGCAGTAGGGATGTAGAGAAATTTCTGGATTTGAACGATCTTCAAGGTTGTGAAATGAGGTAATGAACTGAGAAATAAGGAGTAAGCAGAACTTAGGAAGAGACTGAAAACTTGGTGGGATAAGAGCAGGTATTCAGGGAGAGACGCAGGGGTTTATGAAGTAAGATAAAACACTGAGATTGGAAAATCAGGCCAAAAGTTCAGAAGAGAGTGGCCACAGATACCTATCTGAGACAAGAATACTTAATTATAACTAAAAGTGTTGGCACTTACAAGATCACCAACCAAGAGGAAGACAAGGGGGCTGAGTGAGGATGGAGCCTTGGGGGAAGCCCATGCTTTGGGAGTAGACTAAGAAAGAGAAGCCAGTAACAAAGGCCAAGAAGGGCTGGTAAGGCATGAAGGAGGTTTTACCAGAGGACATGGTATAAGCAGAACCAAAGGAAAATGTCTCCAAAAGTTTCATATGATTAAAGCTATCAAATGCTAGGAAGAAGTCAACTAATGTAAGGATTAAAAAATAATTGTTGAATGTGGTTAATAAAAGAAAAACCTCAGTGTTTGAGCAGTAAAGACCTGGTGGGACTGAATCAAGAATGACCTCGATAGAGAAGAGAATAGAAGACCAAAATGAGGAGAAATAAATGGACTGACTTCTCCCTCAAGAATGTTAGCCGTAAAATAAAAAAGAGACACATTTATTTTGTCTATTGAAAATCCTTCCAGCTATTATTTATGATGATATTAAAAGAATTTATAGACAGTGTGCAAGTGTATATAATTGATATGTTCTTGCAAAATGGCTTATAAACTGAGATATTTTCTGCTCAATTCATCTAAAGGTTGCAGAAATACTTTATGTCATTTTTGACTGATCTTCAATTGGCATTGCCTCCTAACAACAGTTTTATATCTTTCTACTCCCAGAAGCCTTCAGGTTGTTAGTGATCTATAAAAATCTACTTTCACACCCTGAAAGAGTTCACTCTTAAATGGATGTCACAGGAAATCCTTTGTTAATGTGAAGTCCGTTTGAAATACTTTTAATTAGTTTTGTACAATGGAAACTTTGTAAATCACACTGTCTTGATGCAAAGCAGAACAACTGGATCACACATAGGGCTGTGGTATTAAAAAAATGTTACACCATCTTCTAATCCCTCGGAGCAATGCATGTGTACAATCTGATGAAGAAAATTCAAGGCACTGTACCTTTACCAACACCCCCTCAGCATATCCCTTTCATTTCCAAAGAATAATTGGAACTTGCCTGTATATTCTTCAATATTATTCCCATGGATACCAAGAGTTCTGTAAGACTATCCTTTAGGGTACTTGGGTTAAAATCCTTTTTTGCCTATACTTCAAATTACACTCAGAAAATCCATTAATTTTGTATCATTGCTGCAACTTTTCCCTGAACTGCGCTGTTCTTAAAGAATAATTCACTTCCCATTCACTTAAAGACAACTGAAGGTGTTGGTAATCAACTATTAAATTTTATGGTAAATGAGTTCACAAACTGTATGGCAAACACTAAGATATGGCAGTGAGAGATACAGAGATTAATATAAAATGTATTACCCTCTGAGATGTAGATGCTCTTATATCTAAAGGAAGGTGATGAAGACCCACTCTTTTTGCTTCTAGGAGTTCTTATTCTATGACTGTATCTTCTTTTTTTTACTTCATAGGGGAAGGGAAGAGAAGAAGTGGAGAAGGTACAACAGCATATTCCTTAAATGACTTGCCACTTGACAAATCAAGAAAAGCACTAAAAAAGAAAAAAAGCACTAAAGTATAAATCCTTCTCTCTCTTCCCTAGATTTGGGGCTGACAGTTTTACATAAATTTCAGACCATATGTTGAGGTTTACTTCCTTATGGGTTTTTCCTAGGTTCCCCTTGCCATAACTTGAACTAGAAATGCTTGTTTTTCTTAGCCAGCTTAAATGCCTGGATATGGATTTCTTAATTTTTTTTAAGCATCAAATAACTTCTACCACATCAGCAAAATTTCACAACACAAAGGTTAGGACTGCTACATTATTCTGACATTTTCTGTGAATATTATGTCCAGCCTTTTCCAGCTCTAAGAGTCAATTACCACATTTATTAGCAACATCAATAAGAGGTTTGTTTTCCTTACAGCACCTTATGACTACTGCCACATTTGAAAAAAAAAATTTAATAATTATAGGTTCATAGGAAATTACAAAAATAATATAGATCTGTCCCCAATGGTTTTATTTCACCCACTTTACCCCCAATGGTTACATTTTATATAATTATGGTACAATATCAAAATCAGGAAGCTGATATTAGTGCAGTAGGTCTAGGGGTGTGTGTGTGTGTGTGTGTGTGTGTGTGTGTGTGTGTGTGTGGTTCTATGCCTTTTTATCATACATGCTTATTCACCTAACCACCATAATCAAGATATAAACCATTCCATCACCACAAAGATCTTACTTATGGTCCTCTTTTTGGTCATACCCAACCCCACTCCCTCCCATCACCTCCATCCCAAACCCATGGCAACAACTAATCTGTTATCTACTTCTGTAATTTTGTCAAGACTGTTATGTAAATGGAATCAGACAGTATATAACTTTTTGAGATTGGCTTTTTGACTTAGCACATGGCCCTTAAGGTCCATCCAAGTATTTCATGTATCAATGGTGTGTTATTTTTGTTGTTGAGTAGTGGCCATTGTAAGGATGCAAGAAAGGCTCATTTTTATAAGACATGCCATTAGATTTTGTGGTCAATTAATCAATATCAAATTATAGACAGCTGTATACAGAATATGTGTGTTGGTATGTGTTCAAAAGATGAAGAAACTGACCTTGAGGAAATGTTTTTATTCTTTATACTATATATATATAGATATTATATATAGTATATAATATATATATTATATACTATATAGTATATTATATATTAAATATATAATATATATTATATATATAATATATAATATACTATATATAGTATCTATATATAGTATATATTATATACTATATATACATATACACATATACTCTATATTATACTTAAAATCATTTATTTCCTGCAATATTGCTGATTCTAACCTATTATCCACAATCCAAAAATACATTGGGGGAAGTTGCTATTTTAAGCAATGTGAAACAGTACTGTGGTAACTAGAAAATGAGCATTTAATTAGAAAACCATCATAAACTCCAAATCATAAGACAATGATACAATGAATCTATAATGCGAAGCTTCTGGGACTACAAAAATAAATAATGGAGACTTTACAAGAACAGTTTGGGGCTTTCGGGATACAAACACACAACTCATTTCTTGTTTCCATTCCCAAGTCAGACTGAGCTAAGGTTGCTGCAGAAATTGTGACTCTAAGAGTCCACAATAAAGATCTTAGGTAACTTCAGATCATGGCTTTTTAAAGGCACCAATGCATTTGCCAAGCTGAAGTTGTCAGAAAAGATAAACGGTTTGGTAAACTCTACCAAGAAATCCACAGAAAATTAGAAAATCAGAAAATCAGCCTACTCCACACAAAAATAAACTTGCTGGGCATGAATCCAAGAAAACCCACTCAGATATAATAAAGACTGCTGCAAACATTTTCTGTTTGTAAGGAGAAATAAAATTGCTCGGCATTTGGAAAGAAGTTTTCCATTCATAGTTCACCAAAGTGAGCCAATCCAATGGGGATGATGATGGCATGGGATCGGGCAGATCAAAATTCTGTTTTTGTTTTGTTTTGTTTTATTTTTTTGAGAGAGAGAGCCTGTGCTCATGCGTGTGTTTACAAGCACGGGAGGAGAAGAGGGAGGGAGGGGGGAGAGAGAGAGACAGAGAGACAGAGAGAGAGAGAGAGAGAATCCATGCTCAGCATGAAGCCCCATGTGGGGCTCGATCTCACAACACCAAGATCAAGACCTGAGCCAAAATCAAAAGTCAGACACTTAACCAACTGAACCACCCAGGTGCCCCAGACCAAAATTATCTGTAAGACACAGGAACCAGGTCTCCATGGCCATCAATAGCAGTGCAGATTATATTCACCTATATTAGACTTTCAGTAAAGCCTATCAGAAATGTACTTCAATCATACCAGGAGATTCGAATAATTAGCCCCAGTTTAAAAGACATATAAAACCACTCTTTTTTTTTTTTTTTTTTTTTTTAAGTTCTAAGTAAAGATTGGACAAGTTCAGCTTTAGGAACACAGATTTTGTTGGATGATTTTGCAGTTATTGTGCTCATTTCAATGCTATTGACAAAAGACATTTCATGTTTCCCTCCAGCACCTGATGTGGGCCCCATCAAGGTCAACACAAGTAATTGCACACGGTATGAAAAGAGCACCTAAGAACCAAGCAACTCCCAGAGAAAACACAGGGAATGGAGAACAGTTCCTTCATTATCCAATGATGTACACTAGTTTCATTTTTTATCACTATCACACAGAGAAATGTAGGTGTCAACACTGATACCAAAGGATTCACAGAGCCAATCCCTTGCCTTGTAGATGCTGGCAATTCTAGGTGAAAATCTACATACTCAAGAGTAGATAAGATGAGCACATCTATTTAGGTGAATGGATTTCTGTGAATCCTGAGAGAAACTGACCTCCTGGTTCTTCAGTTACTTTAACATGTTAATTTCTTCATATCTTACGTGAACATCATCTCTGCTACACTTTGAAATTTGTATTTTGATATCAGTGTCAGTTCATGTCATCACAGAGTGGGAAGGAGTTAAAGAAGTTTAACAGGTATGTTAACAGGTCAGTGTTTTATTAAGTGTGTCAATCCTGATCACAATCTAGGAAAAGATTCTGAGCAGAGACCTGGGATCATCTTACAACCCACACTGCAATGATTGTATTGCAGCAATCATGGCCCATCTTCTGGTAGGTGTGCCCACAATGACCTCCCTTTGGGCCTCACATGCCCCTCTCCCTTACCTCATTTCCTGTCAGCTTCCTTCTGTGTATCAGATTCATGGAATGAATGAATATGAGGCAGCAACACAGCTCATTATATCCCAGGAGGCAGAACCAAGGCCCTTGCCCTCAACTTCCAAAACAGACCTTGACTATATTTGAGAACAAAATTTGAGTCATTGTCATCTCCATGGGCAGCAGTAATCTAGAGGAAGATCATTTGTTCTGGGCTTCTATTTTTCGTAAATCAGATTCAATCTTCAGATCTTAACCTATGGTAGTTTTACCAGAGTTCTATATCTGAGTACCATAAGACTTCTGAAATGTTTTCTAGGTGAAAAGAAAATATTTACATATAACCTAACAAGCAATTTATGATTTAAATAACTGAAATTTATTGGGGTATGATTTAAATAATGAATTGACCTATCATTATGTAGCTAAATGGAGCTGATAATGACAAAAGTCTTGTCTGAGATGAAGAAATACCAGCGTGCATATATGAATATCAAATCAGAAAATTTAAATGGAAATTTCTGGCAAACTCATTTTTGAAAAATGATAAAATTACATTTATAAAATCTATTCAATAATCTTAGAATGGCTAAATCCTAGTAACCTTGTAACCTAAAAACAGAACAAATAAAATCAAGATCATAGAATTGTAGTTAAGCATTTTAGCAAATGTGCCATGTTCGTTCTGTTCTTCTTTTCTTTTTTGTATTGTGTTTCGCTTTTGTCAACATTGAAACTGTTGGCATTTTGATATGGCATTGTGGTCCCCTTTCCTGCCTCTTTTTAATGAAAAGCAAATAAGAGACTATACACAGTATTGGAGTTCACCAGGTGACAGGACTAAAGACCAAATGCTGGCCATCTGTTGTGGCAGAACAGCTCGACCCTGTCCAGAATTGGAACCGTCTCTCCTCCTAGTCTCCAGGGGCAAGCGGGGTAGCCAGCACCTGCTGTTGGTTTCAGAAGCCTGCTCAGAAGAGGAGGATCAGCACATGGCTCTGAGGCTTCTCCAGTACGCAGCTGCCAGAACCCAAAGCTGTTTTTGGAGCAAGATGAAAGGCAGGAGTACTAGGGCAGGAGAGGCACACTGGAGTATCATCTATCAAAAGATGGCATTAACTAATGTGAATGTGTGTGTGTGCACATGTCTGGTTACTTAATCAGCAGAGGCCAAATGACCTAAAAGAGTAAGTTTCTGTGGACAAGAATTCGGGCTTGATGAAAATAAGAAAGCTAATACGAACACAAATACAATTGACCGCCTGAGCCTGTATCTCTTTATGCATTGTTCATGCAGAGCTGTCACCAATACAAGCAGCGGCACTTGCTATTACTAAGTAATCATCAGACTGGTGAAAATTTGTAGATTACTGGAGTAATTTTTCTAGTTCATGCAGTGCTACATAATAGCTATCATTGCATTAGGGACAAATTTCTTATCCAGTCCTTATTTTGAAAATTAATAGGATCAGAGATTTTAAACATTTCTTTAGAAAACATGGAGTGAGTGACAAAAATTTAATCAAAGTTTTTCCAACAACTTCTTTTTGTTAACATTACATTGTAATTAACTTACTACTGCAACATTATTATTACTATATTAGTTACTAGCCTATTGCTAAAAATGCCATTATAGATTTTTTTTAAATAGGTGAAAATCAATTTTAATAGCATACGTAGGGAATCCACATAACATGGAAATTCCAAAGACAGTGAGGCAACAGGATACTTACCGGAGCAAAGGAGAAGGGAAAGTGGTCTGAGGATACAAAGAGGAGAAAAACCATTAGCAGGAAGGTGAAAGGAGATGTTTGGAAAACAAAGGTTGCTCTATGATGCAGTTAAGTTCCTTAGGTAAAGAGGAATCTCAGTTAATAGCTCTCTTACTGGTATAAGCAGACAGTTGAAGGGGAAGTCAAGAGCTTTTCTGAATCCGCTGGGTTTGGATTACTTTTAGCTCAAAATAATATTTATGCCAAAGTAAATACTATGTGGGGGTCCTTAGTGGGCTCTATAAGTAAGGCTCATCAGATTTTCTTCTACTAACTCCATTAGTAACCACTGGTTCCCAAAAAGTGTTTCTCAAATTAAAGCTGGTTCAATGGAGAGATCCAGGGAATATATATAAGAAAACATTGGTCTTGAGTATATCATGAGGACCTAAATAAGGAAGCAGTCTTATTTGTGTTCTTCCACACTTCTCCATACTGAACAAAAATATGTAAGAAGGCACTGACTCTTTCATGGTTTACGATATGCCATACTATTTACAGCATGAGTCCTATATCTCCATGTACAGATTGTACTTCAGCAGCCAACAATCAGAGTCCCCACATAAATCAACTGAAGAAGCCAAGACAAATGACTTTGACAAGGTTTAAATACATCTCCAAATAGATACATTCTTGGAAAGTGTACGAGTACAGACTTGGGGAGTAATTCCCAGAGTTGCCGTGAACATGATGGTGCCTTGGCATCTTATAATAATGACTATGCCTTGGCATCCCATAATTCTGCCCTAGCCCAGATGCCTTCTGTCATGCTAGCACAACTCAAGAAGAAATATAAGCATAAAGAAAAAGAAAATGTACACAGATACGTAAGTTTGGACTCTGCCCTGTTCCATCAAATCTGAGTTCATTATTGCAAGGAGGCATGGGCACCGAAGAGCTAAGGAAGAAACAAGTCAGTGAACCCCAAACTCCATACCACAAAGTCACATACTTACACCACCTGACATGAACTGGAAAAGTACAAGCTTCCTCAACGTACTTCTATACCAGGAAACCTTCAGCAGAGAATACATATTGAAACATCCCTTCCACCACAGCTATAATGTCACATTCTTATTTATTTAGATTTGGCATTTAGAAGAAGCATTAAAGGGAAAGGAAAGACTAGGCAGAAAGGAGAAAATAAAAAGCAAAAGGAGAGAATTAAAGAAAAACAGACACCAGACAAATCACAGAAAAAAGTAAAAGCCTTCTCAAATTGAATCCTCTTAGCTGTGTTTTTTGTTTGTTTGTTTAAGAAGCTAAACGAGGGGCGCCTGGGTGGCGCAGTCGGTTAAGCGTCCGACTTCAGCCAGGTCACGATCTCGCGGTCCGTGAGTTCGAGCCCCGCGTCGGGCTCTGGGCTGATGGCTCAGAGCCTGGAGCCTGTTTCCGATTCTGTGTCTCCCTCTCTCTCTGCCCCTCGCCCGTTCATGCTCTGTCTCTCTCTGTCCCAAAAATAAAAAAACATTTAAAAAAAAAAAAAAAAAAAAAAAAAAAAAAAAAAAAAGCTAAACGAGAAGACTATAAATAACCCAGCCCTGCCTTCCTTCTGGCCTTGTAATGTAGTAGGCATGCAAACACAGTGAACAATGTCTTTTTAGGTAGTTCCCTTCTGCTATGGTATTGGAGGTTTCCATATGACTAGCAGTGTCCTTGTTTACTTCCAAAATCAACTCTAACGCCATGCAGACATGACCTCTCCTATACTAAATTACCCTAGAGCAAGATTTCAAGAAAGATACCTGTTCCTCCTCTGGAATGAATTAGCTTGGTCATGAACTGGATATCACTCTGTTGGTCAAAGGCTTTTGTGTAAAGCACAACAAATGGTTGAAGAGTGAACATAATCAGATTATTCACAACACAAGTCTTTCCACCAGTAACAAAAGTCACTTCATGAAATGCAGCTCAAGACTGGAAAATATAAAATGCAGCTACCTCCATTATATTTCTTAAAGATACAGAAATGCCCTTCACTCTTGAAACTAAAGTTTTATCTGAGTACTGCAAGCAACACTGAGGAATGTCCAAGAAGTTACTTACAAAGCCAAGGCAGCTGTTGGGCTGACAAAAGTCATACTTCATTGAAGGGCTAAGTGCTAGATAAAGAGTATGAAAAATCTGAGTAAACTCAAGGATAGGGCTCAGAACTGAGTACTGCCTAGCACAGGAATTGCAGATGTAAGATTGCAGAGTGTAAGATAAAGTGGAAGTCAAAGCATAGGATAATGGGGATGGAGAATGGAAAACTAAAAGAAAGAAGAAAAGACAGGGATGGTAAAGTGGGATCCAGGTAAGAAGAGAAGGGCGAAGAATGAAGCAGATATGAGGAAGGAAAATGAACACTGAAGGGATGGAGACACTCTATGAAGGAGAAGCAGTGTACTGGGAGATGGACATTGAGCCTTCAGTATGTGGGCATTCTTCTAGAAATACAAAGTAAGCCCATAATGAGCCCATAGGCAATGATAATGGGTAACAAAATATAATCTGTTATCAGCTAACCTTTTTTTTTTTTAATTTTTTTTCAACATTTATTTATTTTTGGCACAGAGAGAGACAGAGCATGAACGGGGGAGGAGCAGAGAGAGAGGGAGACACAGAATCGGAAACAGGCTCCAGGCTCTGAGCCATCAGCCCAGAGCCTGATGCGGGGCTCGAACTCACGGACCGCGAGATCGTGACCTGGCTGAAGTCGGACGTTTAACCGACTGCGCCACCCAGGCGCCCCTGTTATCAGCTAACCTTAAAGTCACCAATTTGGGTCCTCTGATACTGTTCTGAGCTCATTATCAAAAACAAACCTGATTTTTTGAAGTCTGTGGAGAAAATCTTCCTTCTTTAAAGAAGTGCATTGTGCCTCAAATCAGGTAGGACTAGGCAGGACTCTCTCCCCTGGCTCTTCGTAAATCCCTGGATAGTATAGTCTGCCCATCCCTTTGAAATGTGAAAGAACTCTGAGTCACCTCTGTCAAGTTCTGAATATCAAATTTGTGTGCATGGCCAATTTGCTCATAATTTCATATCTTAGAAATTCTGTCTGGGACCTAGTAAATCTGACATAGAAGTTACCTGAGAAGAGGCAATAATATAGTTTTAAGAGTATAACCTTTGGAGTCAGATTAGCAGACAGTCCTGGGCCATGGGCACTTAATGCCCGTGTGACATAAACTGTTCTTGCTCTCCCTAGACCTTTGCTTCCTCAGGTTAACAGTACCGATCTAGCAGGTTATTGTGAGGGTTGAGGACAATATAGGATAATGTGCCCAGCCCATGGTACAGACCTGTCAAAGATCAGCTGACACTACAATGTGTGATTTTGTATACCCAATGAAAGAACATATAAAATATGTTTTTATATTTTGTATGAATTATATAGAAGCATATGAAAAAATCAATCATCAATATACTCCTAAATTTATAAAACATTAGCTTTAAGGCCTGAAAATAAAGTGACTGTTTGGGGAGATAAATAATTAGGTGAAAACAGTGACACACACATATATAACTACAAAAAGAACTAAGCATAATGTGAACAGTGATCATTCTTGGGTAATGGAATTGAAAGTAATTTTTATTGTCTGCCTTTTATTTATCTGTCATTTCCAAAATTTCTACACTCAAAATGAATTTATTATTTTATAATTATTCAGATATTTAATACATTTAAATATTTTTATAGTAAATATAGATATGTTTATATATTGTTCTATATATAAAACAATAATATTTATTCATTTTGTAATATGGGAAGAAAATTTTTAAGGTGAGGTGTTTTCAGTTTTCAAGCTATTTCTCAAACAATGCAGATAATTTTGGGGTTGTCTCTGTCTTTGGGAGGAAGAAATCTAAATTTTATAAGGTCGACCTTTATCCCAATTTCATGGCCAAGGATAGCTTTAAAGCCTCTTTTTCTTTTGTCTAGCAAGGAAAAGAAACTAATATGCCCACTTTTTTTCATGGCTGCACACAAACTGGCTATTAAGTAATCTTTTGAATTCAATCAAAACTGGCTATTTTAAAACAATAATCTCTTCAGATACAACAAGATCCTTTCTAATTAAATCAGACTTTAAATTTTGACTTGTTTTCCAAAAGTATTTTTGCTTATTCACAACATCCATGCAAACAGGTTAGGGTGGCCCCTTTCCTATATAGGCAGCAGCTCTGAGGATCTGGAAGGGAGCTAAGATACAGCCATTGACATGCAGGAGACCATCACTTCTTTTTTTGTTTGTTTTTTTTTGTTTGTTTGGTTTGTTTGTTTTTTGTTTTTTTTTTTTTTTTTTTTTTAGGAGACCATCACTTCTGTCTTTCATGCTCCACTCCCCTCCAGGTAAATGGATCTATCCACAGCATGATATGATTACTGGTCAGAGTCTTTGGCCAGGACTTTAAGTCTCTAAGAGTCTTTAAGACTCTAGACTATCTAGACTATCTCTAGACCACAGGCCATTATGATAGGTTATAGGCTAAAAGCAAATCTCAGATCTGTTTGATCTCATTATATATCACAAGAAGAAGGGATTTAAGCAGTGTTGAGAGGAAATTTTTTTCTCTTCTAAGAGCCAGGCTTGAAATATACCAAGCACCACTGAGAGTAAAGCAATGTGGTGGGTACTGTGAAGGGGCAGTAAAACAAAACAAAACAAAACTAAACTAAACTAAACTAAACAAAGCAAAACAAAACAAAAGCAGAGTTGCTTTTAGACCATAACCTGTTCTGTTCTTTTTCTTGTTTTCTATGGATTGAAATAATCTCTTAAGTGGAACAAAGGTATAGCCTGTCACATTAAAAAGTAAAGTGATTAGATGAGGCTTATTATGCCCATGACATAGAACCTGCTTAATCTTACTGGCTGGTTCTATGCAATGAGAAAATCTCTAAAGGGCAGCAAACATTTTAAAGCCATTACAGTTTAATATCTTCCAAGGCAAGTGATGGCTCTGAGCAAATTTAAAGATCATTAACCCAGGACTTAACAAGCATTCATTTATCAAAGAATTTCTCAGTCAATGTTATTGAATTTCCGCTTTGTGAAGACACAAAATGTGATGCCAAAAGGGGGTTATAATTTAACAGAGGAAGAGGAATATGCATTAATACATTTAAGAGTACAAACAACAGAAACATACAAATAAAACTGCCCATAATTACAGTAAAGTTCTTCTTCCTAGTCACAGTTTAATCCAGTGTTTTCCAAAATGTATTCTGTGAAATACTACTTCAGTGAGAGATATTCTTTAGGGAAACAAAAAATGTCCTTGATCAAGTAAGTTTGAGAAATAGTTAAAAAACTCAATGTACTTAAGCACATTAAAGAATGAAAAGTCCTAGAACAATGTCTAATGTAACACCTCTCTAATTTATTTAACCACACAAGCATTCTTTGATCTTAAAATTATTAACATCTATGATCGTTAGTTTTAGGTCAACTTGGTTGGGCTATTATTCAGTTAAACACTAGTCTTGATGTTGCTGTGAAGGTATTTTGTAGATCTCATTAACATCTACAATTTGGTGACATTAAGTGTATAAGATTATCCTCAGTGGTGTGGCTGGGCCTCACCCAATCAGTTGAAAGGCCTTATGAACAAAACTGAGGTTTCCCTGAGGAAGAAATTCCACCTCAAGACTACAGCATCAGCTCCTGTCCAAATGTTTCCAGTTCGCCTGCCTGTGTTAGGGATTTCAGGCTTGGCAGCCTCCATATCACATAAACCAATGCCTTCAAATAAATAAATTCAATAAATAAAAAAAAAAAAAAAACAAGTAAATAAAATTTAATACGAATAATGTTCAAATAAAGTAAATAAATGTACATGCATGTGCATGTGTGTATGTATTTTAACTGCTGTTTCTGTTTCTCTGGTAAACCTCTGACTGGTAAAAACATCCCGAGAACTGATGTTTCATATAACTTTCTTCAGGGAACACCACAAATTCCCATCTTTTACAGCAGTAAAATCCTATCTCCATAGTATAAGTGTGGAGCTGTGGGACAGCACATGTCAGAACTGTATGTCAGAACTCAATTTAAGGGATGTAATAAATATTGTTAGCTGCTGCTCAACATATTTCATACTAGCACCCACACCCAAGTTGGACTTGCTAAAGTCTTTAAAAGTAGACCCTGAGTGCCATAAACCGAACACTCTTCCCCTTTGTCTCTGGGACTTGTTCAGGTATGGTGGTAACAACAGGCCTATGTCCTTTAGTGCACAGACATCCCCCTGGCCAAACTGATTGGTTCTGCTCATTTAAGGACAGAAGGAAGTGAAGAACCTCCTGGACTGGATGATGATGATTGGTTGCCAACATAAGGACTCCAACTGCTGCATTTTGCTACCATGAGTGAAGCTGGCATGAGGACAAAGGCAATAGAGGTAGGATGGAGGGCTAAAATGAAAGAAATGTAGAGACATAAATCTGGGCCCAAGTCAAATCACATGTAAAAGCTGAACAATCTCTATTCTTTAGTAACTTTAGCCAAAAAATCCATTGTTGAAGACAATCTGAGCTGGGTTTCTTTTGGTGCTTCAATATATATTTGTTCAATTATACTTGCATATAACAGCATCCTAAGTAATAAAAGGAAACATAGAAGAAGAAAAACTAGGAATATAAAAATACAGAAAGCTCTAGAGGGGGATATAGATGAACTGGGAAGGGCAGCAAAAGAGGGAAAAAAAAGCCTCCTAAATGATTAGGTCAATACAAATCTCATACTATCCAACTGTTCTTAGCATATGTAAGAATACGTGTGTGGATGAACCTTGAACAGTAGGGCTTCTTAAATATCTTAGAAAATTTGATGAAAGCTATGGTAAGTTGCCTCAGAAAAATTCTTGTACACAAAAAATTTAGCTTGCAATTTCAGGAGCTTCATGTAG